TGGTGACTTAGAGTAGGACAAGACTGAAAGAAAAGGCAATAGAAGAAATGCTAATGCAATCTTTGACTCACTACTATGGTTGATGGGGAGACATGTTAATTGGTATTTGGCTTCAAATGTCTAGATTTTAGTGACGGTTGTTATAGATTTGTCCTATGTATTCATGAATTAGGGTGGCCGCTGTGATAGTCTCCAACCTGGCAGATGACATCTTCACATCTATTTGATTCTGGAGGTCAGGAGTCCTTTAAGAGTTTCACTGGTCTTTTCTCGGCTTGATTGGAGTATTACTCCATTGTTTAAAAACAAGGATACCAGGAAATCTGAAAGCAAAGGGATGGAACTCTGTTGTGGGATATTCCTTTATACTGCATGAAGACATCACTGTGTTTGGTCTAATAAAGAGCCTACTGGCCAATAGCCAGGCTGGAAAAGATTAGGCAGGAATTCTGTGGACAGAGAGGTCTTGGGGAAGAAGATTAGACACAGAGGAGAGGTAAAAGCCACAAGCCACACAACAGCGTGCAGATTAATAGAAATGTGTTAATCTGTTGTAAGAGCTAGACAGAAACAAGCCTAAGCTAAGACTGAGATCCATAATTATAAGTTTCTGTGTCATGATTTGGGGACAAGAAGTCGAAAAAAGCCTGCTATAGAACTAAATAAAAATCACCTTGAGTGAGGGAACCCAGACCGAGGAAGACAAACATGGTATGTACTCACTCATAAGTGGATATTAGCTGAAAACAAAACAAAACAAAAAAAAAAAAAAAAAAAAAAAAAAAACTATGCTACAATCCACAGACCCTAAGAGACTAGGTAACAAGGAGGGTTCATGGGGTGGGGGTGGGGCAATGTCGGGATCTCTCTTTGGGGAGGGGGAACTATAAGAGATTTCATGAGTGAATTGAGGGTGGTCCAAGTGCTAGAGCTCTGGAGGGAAAGGTATCCTGACTTGTCAGGGAGTCAGACTATACCTGAAGCTAGGGTGAGGTGGGAGATGGTCTCCCAGAAGAAAGTAGCAATTATGCTCTGCTCCTAGCGAGAGCTGAGCTGTGCTCAGTTCCACTAAAGGAATGTCCTAGTAGAGCTATCCTTTTCTTCTGCTCTGCTCGGCCCTTGTCCAAGATGTTAATTTTTCTGCTTTGCTCTGCCTGGGGAAGAACCTGCAGAAATGTAGCAATTTCCTCTGGTTCTGGCAAAAAAGTTACTTTTTTTGCTTCACCCCTAAGGGAGATCCCCGCTGATGTAACTGTTTCCTCTATTTTTTCTGCTCAGCTTCCATGAGGGAAAGTCTCAGCAAAGGTTTTTTTTTTTTTTTTGTTCAGTCCCAATAAGGGAACATCTCAGCAAAGGGTCTACTCCACACCTTTGAAAGAAGATCTTTACCCAAAGCTCTTTTAATAGATTTGTTTGAAAAGTAGTTCAGGAGTGTGGCTGCCTCTCCCAGGGTGGAAAGTGATAGGCAGTAACTGAACTGCAGAGGGTCTCATATAGGGCTTCTTAGGGGTGGAGTTTTCCCCAAGGAGATTCCCCCCCCCCAAGGAATTAGGTAGTCTTCCTGCTCAGGGATTGGTTAGTTTTCCCACTCAGGGATTGGTTGGTTTATTTGGTCAGGGGCGGAGTTGACTTTAGTTTCAGGGCCAAACTGTTTCTTTCACTGGCCCTTTTTAGCCTTTCGGCTCTATTTTCAAGGCTAAGGCATATTTTGCTGATTCTAAGGCCAAAGTGTGTTTCCTAGTCTCTGGTTTCAGAGTCAGGGTGTGTTTCTTTGGTTCTGAGTTCAGAGCTAAAATGTCGTGTTCACTAGCTCTTGGTTGGCCCTTTTTCCCTACAGGCGGGTTAAGCAGGGAAGATGAGAGATCAGACTAGGGCGGGGGAGAGTTCTGAAAGTATGTGTGTGATCAGGTAAAACCTGGCTCAAGGGAATCTCCCAGAAATCTACAAGGATGACCACAGCTAAGACTCCTAGCAATAGTGGAGAAGGCCTTCTCCTGTGACCAGACTGGTGCCAATCCCAATTGTCATCAGAGAGGCATCATCCAGCAACTGTATCACAGCCGAACACTAGGTGGAGCTTGGGGAACCCTGCAGAAGAGGAGAAAGTATTATAAGAGCCAGAGGGGTCAAAGGACACCACAAGAAAACTCACAGAATCAACGAACTTGGGCACTTAGGAGCTCAGAGACTGAAGTAAAAACCAGGGCGCCTACCAGGGACTGATGTGGGTACTCTCCACATATAGTTGTATAGCTTGGTCCTCTTGTGAGGCTCATAACAGTGGGACAGGAGCTGTCTCTGACTCTTTTACTGGCGTTTGGGGACCTACTCCTCATACTAAGTCGCCTTGCCCAGCCTTAATACAAGGGGAGGTGCTTAGTCTTACTGCAACTTGCTATGCCTTGTTTTGTTGATGCTCATGGGAGACCTGCTCTTTCCTGAACAGAAATGGAGGGGGAGGGTAGGAACAGATGTGGACTGGGAAGGAGGGACTGAGATGAGGTGGGGGGAACTGCAGCCAGGATGTAAAATACATAAATAAAAAAATTTATTTAAAAAAAAAAAAGACAAAAGAAGCATTCAAAGGAAGGGACAAAGGGCTATCTGTGGAACCTGTTAGCACACCAAAGCCTCTAGGCTCCCTCAGTATCACAAGTACCTAGTTTTTCTCACCTCCTCCTCTGCCCCTGCCATAAACCCCAGCTCAGGACTCATTTCTTCTTATAACTTTGCTATTCTGGCTATACCCTCTTCATCCTCTCTTGCCTTCTCTTGGTCCTCTGGTATGAACTGCATGGTGACCATCACTGCTTGACAAAATTCCAGCATTTCAACACTGCAGACCATACTTTTCCAGCACCTTTTTAAATTTTCATTTTTAATGATTCTCACTATTAATGCCTTTCCCTTTGGGAAATTTTGTGCACGATTTGGTAAAGGATAAAAATGTGTACAATGGTAGCTTCTCTAAACAAAATAATTCCTTTAAAAAAAAAAAAAATCCCTGCCACCTCAGAACCAGGAATCTCACTGTGCCCTCCTAATTACACAAGGAATGTTAGAGATTTTCTAGACACACCTGATTGCAAGAATGAAATGCCTACAATTCAGATACAGAGCCTGAGGCCATTAAGGGTAAGAATTCAGTTAATAAACACATAGAAATCAGAATGGTATGGTATAATGAGAAAAAAGTAAGGCATCGGGATCTACCCTTTTGGGAGCCTGATGAGGGGTGTTACTGTGGAAGCTTCACCTCAGCCCCAGGCATCTGGAGTGTTATGGTGGAAATTCCACATAAGCCCCCTCCCGCATCTCCCTCCAAACCCTGCTGCATCTCAGAAAGCCCGCCAAATAATGACCCCTCCCCCAGAGATGCTCAAGACCACTACTACAGGGTATTTAAACTGACCCCTAGAGAACAGATTCCTGGGTTTTCTGGTCTCCCTTTCCAGTCTCCTGTCTTGGGTTGGAAGGCCACCCAGGAGCATTGTATCTATTAAACATGAGCTTTTTCTAATTTGGTTTGATTTGGTCTGATTTGAATTGTTGCATCGGCAGAGAGGCTTATCAGGGTGTAGAAACTTTCCAAGGGGAACAGGCCCATACAGTAAGACTATGAAATTGTAGTGTAGAGTCTGTTCCCCAGAAGAAGTCCTTTTTCCAAGGTTAGGTATTTGGAAAAGAAGGGTTTCCATCCCTTAGAGGAGGAGGGGCTTGAAGAAAGTTCCTTTTTGCTAGAACAGTCATTTTTATCCCTGGCAAGAGAATTTGTGGCCTTCCATTAGCATATGAGTGGTGCCTTTTTTCAAGGTCAATGCTAGCTAGATTCCTCAACCAATGAACTCAAGCCACATCCCAGGTCAAACATTCCTCCTTATTCGCAGATGACCCTATATGCAATAGAAGGCATAGCCATCCAGATTCACTCTCAGATCCCGTCCACCTCCTACCACCTCTTTGGGACCTGAGGATGCACACATCCTCTTTGGGACCTGAACCCCCACTGAAGCAGGTCTCTGGCAGTCCTCTCTTAGTTTTCATCTCTCGCTCTCCTCTCTCTCCTCCTGACAGTGCCAGTCTGCTGGCCATGTTCAGTTAACTTCTTTCTCTCCCTGTTCTGGGCTCTACCGAATGCCTCTGGCTGCTCTCTCCCTCATATCTACAACAAAAACCTTCACCTTAACCTTGGAGCAGTCATGACATCAGGTTATACATATATAACATTGTGTAAGGTTTAGCAAATTAAACTAGTTTGTGAATTAAGAAGACAAAATCCAGGGAATTAGGATACCTGCATTTTCAATTCCTAAAGATTCACTCTTTTCAATTTTTCCCTCAGGAAAATTCTTCAAATTTTTGAGGTCTCCAATTACAGATCTGTAAAATTGAGAGGTGAGGTCTAAGATTCCCTAACTGTAAACTTTAAAGTGTTGGTTTTTTTTTTTTTTTTTTTGTGAAACTTTCAAATCCATGAATTTTTCTATACTATATTATCATAACTTTGAGAATCAGCATATTAGTTTATATTATAATCCTTATATAAATTGTAATAGTCTCAGTTTGGAAATGAAGTAAAAGAGGCCTAGAAAATGTGTTTAAAGCACATGACTAAACAAGTGGTGAAGCTGAGTTAGCTCTTGTTTCTGCCAATTATAAAGCTGTGCACTCTCTTTAATTTATGTTACTCTTACATTAGAGCTGATTTCTGTAGTGTAGGTCAAGATCTCAAACATTCAGTACCTACCATGCTACTCTTGCTTTCCTATTTCTAAGTCTATAGTTCGAGATGGATGTGCTCAGGTTTTTTTTTAATCCAGCATTCCCTGTTCTTGTTATTTATGGTGGTGTCACCCCAGATGTTACCAGTCCCATATCTTGCCCCCATTACATGTCTTCTTCATGTATGTTTCTAGCACTAACTCCTCACTTTTATCTTAAATAAAATTAGCTATCAAATTGGCATTAAGTTATAATGAATGTCAAAAGATAAAACAGACTTGTGAAGTAAAAATTCCAATTATTGCTTTATATTTTCTTTTATATTTAAGTCATTTTAAGACAAATGCCTTTCCACAGTTAAACATTGAAATAATCTAAATCATATTGCTATAATTACTATTTCTACATCAATATTTGCATGAAAACCAGCATTTAACTTTGAAAATACAGTAACATCGTCAAGACATCTTTGATACCAGTGCATGTATACTGAGGTAATATCTGTATAATCAGTAACTTTCACAAGCATAAGAAACACTTTTTAGATGTCATAAATGAGCTTTTGTAAGTGGAGATTTCCACAGTGCAACATAGTTCCAGTTCAATGTTATGACAGTTACACAAATGTACATAAATTCTATTACTAGATGAACTTACAAAGATAGGATATTGAATATATATGACTAAACAAATATCAAAAATAGTTTAATAGGTACAGAAGCATAGTAACAAAAACACAGCTAACAATAGTGCTGTCACGTGTAGAGTAAATCATGGACTCACCAGGCTTAAGAAACCCTACAGCCATTGCTTTCATTGTTCTCTCTGACTCCCCTCTATTAACACAGTGGCCATTGTGGTTATTTATCATTATTTCCCTGTGAACAAATTTTCTGACTGAGTACTATTTTCAAACATCATTTCTACCACCACCACTGATTATTACTGAAAACACATCAAAGCTTTCAAGGCTAATAATGGTTTCATGCAACTTCAGATCTATTTTGGGAAGCAAATGGCTAATGAAATTTTCCTTTTATGGGTAAAGAGCCACCAGATACCAATGCTATTAGCAATATGCAAATATGGAATTCAACATGCTTATATTTTTCAATAGAGCTGAAACACATACTTTATATCTGAAGCATCATCAAATATTTTGATAACATCAGTACTATATAGCCTATGTGCGCATGTGGCTGCTAGCAGAGCTTTTTTTGGCTGAATTTTGAAAGTTTTAGTGGCTACCATGATAACACATTTATTTTGTTGACAAGGTGTACCACAATCTTCTTTTATAAAGTTAATTCACAGGCCTTTCTTATTGACTTTTTCTAAATGGTTCTGTAACAAAAAACAAAACAACAACAATAGATTAATAAACAAGTTCATAGACACAAGGACATAAACATTTGTCTTCTATGTATTAGATAATTAAAATTTGAAAGAATGTAAAAAAAACTTAAAATATTACAAAATCTAAGTTTTGTTTGAAAAAATATTCAGGGGGGAGGGAAAGTAAAGTCTCTTAATAAGTTCATTTATTTTCATATATTAATCTGTTTTGCTCTCATTTCACAGTTACCCCCAGGAAAACAAAATTTTTCAAATTCCCCTATTGCAGACCCAATTAAGATTTTTGGCAAGGAAAAGATAAGGAACAATGGGAAATAAAATAGAAGTTGATCTTAAAGGAAAACTTGGATTAAGAAAGCAAATGGTTATATCAAGGAAGAAATCTCCCAGAATGGAACTGCAGAATGTTACCGCTCTTACACAGAAAGCCACTACTTCTTGTTAAGGCTGAGTATTAATGTTTTTATAAGAAGTTAACATTAAGCAATTAAAAAGAAAAGATGAGAGAAGGTATTTTAAATGACAGCACATTGTTTATACACTTTTACACACACATAACCACTTTAGATATAAATCAAAGTTTTAGTGAAAATGCTATTAAATTTGGACAAATCTCCTATGTGAAGGGTGTTTTTTCAAAATGAATTTAAAAATTAGTAAGCGCTGATAGTTTGTGCTGCAAATAATATCAAGTCAGTTTTGTTTTGTTTTCTTCCTTATCTAGAAGACAACCAGACCAAATAAGAAAAAACAAAGACTATATGTTTAAAGGGAACATTTTTAAATATTTATTTAATGCTTTTGACTGGGAGGGGCCCCAGTTGGGGAAACACAAATAGATTTAGAAGCTGCAAAATGAGATTTGATTACGGAAAAGAAACCAGTTTTTCTACCACTTTAATGTTTAAACAACTGTTCATACTTGTTTCAAATTATCACAATTATATAAAATTGAGAAAATAAGTTTTCCCAAGAAGGCTTAGGATGTAATTAAATTACTAATACTGATTTGACAATAGCAGTAAAATTGATGAGGAGAAGCTAAATTCACCTTTATACTTTTTGCTGTTCAGACTGTGAATATTGAAGAGTTACTTGTGAGAAAATGTGACGATGAAATGACATCTAAATTTCAGCATGTTTCTTTGGTTTTCATAGTGGACAATGAGGGCTAGGTAGGTGGGCGGGGTTGGGGGAAGAATGTAACAAATCAACTAAGTATCTTATGACAATGGCTATAAAGAGACTTTCCTATTTAAAAATATTAAAAGTTTTTTCTTGAAGTAGATCTGGTTTGGTGCTCATTAAGGTACCTATCTCTCAGGTTAAGGGATGAAGTAGCCAAGGCACCTGGAATGTCAAGTGATTCAGAGGGGTTACAGGAGTAATTCAACCCTTTAAATAGATAGATAATTCAGGAAGTTAGACTTACAGGTGATGAGACAGCAGACACACAAAACAGTGAGAAGGTTTAGCTAAAGCAAGGAACTGCAGAAAAGCACAACCATTCTTGGGTTGGAAGGGTGAGAGTGGATGATTGGGTAAAGGTCAGCAAATGGAAGCTGCCGATTGTAATTGTGACCAGGGAAAGGCTGGAGGCCAGGAAGGAAATGTCACCTAAAGCAGAATATAGGAGAAATTGGTGGCTTTCTCTGTTTTCAGTTTTCTACTAATGCCTCTCACTAGCTAAATTTGCCCAGGAGTCAGAAAGCAAGGTTCTGTAACTGTACATTTCTACATGGGATAGGGCATGGGTAGAAAGAGAACAGACCCAAGAATACACAGATTGATGACCAGCACAGGTTGAAGAACCCAGTTAATGATGGAGGTTGTGGAGAAAGATTTCCTGATATTGATGCTTAGCTTTAAATGCTCTTTCTAGTTCAGTAATCTGGAGCAAATAACCTCAAAACTTTTGACTCTTGACATCTTTGCCTACTAAACAGAGATACTAAAATAATTTAGCTTACTAAGTTGCCAAAGGAGTAAATCTGACACATATGTAAGACCATTAGCCAGGTATTTTGTCCAGAGCACACTGAATAAATGTTGGAATTTCATAAACAGAATACAGACAGGTATTAGGTTAAGGTTTACGTGTGTTATTAAAAAATGTTCCAATCTGCACTACATGACAATTAGTCTGTTTAGGATAGGGTTTTTTCTTTTTCTTTTTGTCCAAAGAAGCAGGTGCAATGACTATTTTCTTAGACAGAGTATACCTATAAAAGCTCTCCATTTTTTTTTTTTTTTTTTTTTTTTTTTTTTTTTTGCTAAGAACAAAAAAGCTCCAAGCTGAAAGTGGTTTTTCTGGGGGTATTGGGAGACTGGAGGAAATCTTAATTGTCATATATTCTTTAGGATTAAGGAGTTACCCCTACTGAACTGTTAAAAGTTACCATTAACTGTCACCATAACTAAGACATTAAGCTATGGACACTGACCTAAAAGATTAAGGGTATATTTTTTGCTCCTCCCTTTTTTTTCCATTTAAGGGTCTAAATATTTCTGGTACCTTGAAAACTTTTTCCTCTCATAATGTGTAGAAAGAACATGATGGTTGAGAAGACCCAGGTTTCACAAATAGGAAAGAGTAAAATCTACCTAGACAAGAGGTCTCAAAAATACTTCTTCCCTTCCCATGCTGAATGCTGAGCATGTCATGGAGTAATTCTTGTTATGCCCTGAGGAGGTCAACAATTTCAGCATCTCTATAAATGCAAATAAGCATCTACTCTAGACCATATAAATTTAGCCTTTAGTGTCCTAAGACTAGATTACATATTGGTAACAAGGTTGTGTATGTTTTTAGATTGCTTCTTGACTGAGTAACTTAAGGCCGAAGAAGCTGAGGAGGAAGAAGCTGTTTGAGACTAAATCAGTCTTTCAGTAAAAATACAAAGGAAGTAATACTGATGACAATGCTGGTAGTTCATTCTCTCCTCCCTCCCACCCTCCCTCGTTCCCTCCTTTCCTCGCTCCCTCCCTCCCTCGTTCCCTCCTTTCCTCACTCCTTCCCTCTCTCCCTCCTTCCTTTTTTCCTTCCATCATCTCACTCTTCTTTGAGACAGATTTAAATGCTGGAGTTAAAGATGTGTGCCACCATGCTTAGCTAACAGCTATTTATGTTTCTTGAGTATTTACACAAGTCAGGAACTATACCAAGCACCCTGCATTTTACTTGGTTCTTTCAACCCTCCAGTGAGCAAGCCATTATTACCGATCCAGTGTTAAGATGAAGGCATTGAATTTCATCCTGATGGATGACATTATCTCTTAGGATCATAAAGCTACTATGAAGACGGATACAGATATTCCAGAGTACATGGGTATGGTGCCTATTTGTCACATGCCAAGGCTGCCTCTTATCAGTTCTTCCTACACCTTCTGCCAAGTGTGCTGTGCTGGGGTTTAAGCTCAGGGCTACAGCACTTGTCTATCATGCATTATGACTTGTATTTTAATTCTGGACCCCCTCCCTCAATGGTGGATGGCTAGGAAATAAATTCAGGTTGGTGGTTGACAACTGAAGAGAAATATGACAAACCTATGGATGTACATTTGGAACTGACTCTTGCTAAATTTGAGACAGAAAGAAAATCCATGGCTTAGATTTGAGAGCTGCTTTAACCAAGAGTTCCCCCATCTTTAAATCAACTCTGGAGGTAGAAATCAGGTATCTGAATGCCTCAATACGTTGCCCTAAGACACTGAAAACAAAGACTGCAGTAATGTGATATGAAACTTCAAATTTTGGTCTCACATTGGCAAAACTATGGCAAACATTCCAGATGGTGAAACACATTTTTTTTTGAACCAGTTTTTTTAAAAGCTATTTTTTATAGCTTAATTTTTTCCTTTAAAACTTTACCATAAGTGGAACATTTTTTTAAATTGTCATGTTAGCAATTCTTTGTATTATAGCTATCTTACATTTGGCTGTAGTGGCCTAATCTTTACCCTTCGGGTAAATCTGGCTTTTCTAGTTATTTACTAAAGCCAGGATTAAGAACATTATTTGAATTTGGGAAGGGAAAACAATCCAAATAGTTTATTTAAGTATTTATTATTTCAAAAAACATTATATATATATGTACATGTCACCAACCTGAAGTTCTGAGTGTTCTTTCAGGAGTCGATCGTATTCCTTTGAAAGTCTCTCTGACTGCATCTTCATAGTTATCACATCATTTTGTGCCTTTAAAAGGGCTAAAAATATCAAACAGAATTTTATTTAGAAATAATTTTAAAGAATTAGGAAAGCTGAGAAACCCTTAGGTTTTAAACAATTAGGAAAGTAGAGAACCCCTATATAGCATACACTCAAATTCCCAACTATTAATGTCATGCTACATTCATATTGTTATCATACTCTCTCCACACACATTTGATGGCTTCAAAAACATGCCTCTTTTTGCTTTATTTCTTTTTGTGTGCACTTGTGTTTTGCCTATATTTGAGGCTGTCAAATTCCCTGGAACTGGAGTTACAGACAGTTGTGAGCTGCCATGTAAGTCATAGGAATTGAACTGGGCCCCCCAGCAGAGCACCCAGTACTCTTAACCACTGAGTCATCTCCGCAGCCCCTCTCTTTATAACTTCATTGTGTATTTTCTAACAATAGGCATTCTCTGACAGGACCACAGTGTAATTACTAAATTTGACAAACTTAATATTAACACAACACATTTAATGTAGTCTACCACCCGTATATTTCAATGGTGACAGCAGTCATAACTTTGCCCTTTTATATGTTTTAAGATACAGTAGTGGGTCACAATTACATTTTATTTCCATGTTTCTTTAGTTTCCTTTAATCTATACTAGTTATTTATTTTTTTAATCTTACTCCAGCCTTCTCTTCTGTGACCCTTTCATTTTCAAGACTACCAGCCACTTTAAAAGAAACATCTTCTTTTGGGTTTGTCTGGTATTTCCTATGACAGAATTCAGGTCATGTATTCCATATTCATGTTGAATATGATACAAATGACGTTTAATACTTCCCAGGGCATACACAGAACAACCACTTCCAAAGATCTTCCACTTTTTACTCTTGTTCCATTTTTGATATTGTTTGATCCTGTAACTAGAGCAGCAGTTTGTGGGAAGATAAATTAAGAAAAAAAAAATCCCGTTCTATGTCAAAATACCAGTCTGCCTACCTCTATTTAGCATCTGCTGATAATTCTTGCCTAAACCAATCATTGTGATAGTTGCAAACTAATTATTTTTCTAACGTTACCATTTTATCTACACTATTAAATTAGAATTTTACTGGCTTTCTTTCCTATCTACTTGTTGGCATATCTGTCATCTGGGTATCATCAATATAAATCACTGAATCTTATTTTGTTGTTGTTGTTGTTGTTTTAGGAAACAAGATCCTTCTGTGTAGCTCTGGCTGTCTTGTAACTCTGTAGACCAGGCTGGCCTTGAACTCAGAGAACCACCTGCCTCTGCCTCCTGAGTGCTAGGAATAAAGGCATGGGCCACCACTGCTTGGCTCCCATTTCCTCAATAATTTGTTCACTGAGGTTCCAATTTCCCTAGATTTGGTCAGCTAGCACTTCAGGCTGGTGCCTACCTCTAACGACTATGCTCTCACCTGTCTTTCATCCTTAAAAGGCATTTCTTTACTCTCTGGCATGTGTCAGACTCACCCTAAACTTCCCTAACCAAGGTCTGTAAACAAGGGATTATATAAACTTTTCATTTGACATGTCAATGTGCTTTTTAAAAAAGCTGTATCATTTTGAAAGAACATATATATGAGAGACATATTATCAGACTGGGACGTTGTAGGCAATATATCTAAGTAGCTTCAATATACTTATCTACAAAATGGATTGTCATTTGCAGCTTAAAGAAATGCTGAGATATTTCCTAAGAATGACCAGACTCAATCAGAAGCTAGAGTATATTCTAGTCACTAAAACCTTTTAAAGTACATTTATCATGAATACAAAAAATAACTACAATGTTATAGTGACAGTAGTAAGTCATTACTAATAAGTCACTGTGTTTGTACAAGCTAACATATAAGTAAAGCCAAAACATTTACTGAACTTATAGCTATTTGCATGCCAATGTTATCATTTCACTATGATTTCTACCGGTGGTAATTGAAACCACCAGCTAAGCACTGCTAGGATATGGAAGAAAATAATTTTTGGAGGCACTGTCAAAGCAGATAAACTTGAGCTGTTGTACAATAATTATACGATCTGAGCCAGAGGAGAACATACTTTATTTGGGAAAAAAAAAATCTATACACTTAATGCTACTTTCTTTAGTTCTGTTTTTTGGCATATGATATCCTGGAGTTATTCAGTATTTGATATTCACAGGTACTATTTTTGTCAACAAACAATCGCTGGATTTAACGCAGGTAGTTTTGAATGTACCTCATTTGTCAGATTTGTATAGGTGAGATTATGTGTTAGTTACTGTTTCACTGATCACCAGCCCCCTCCCCCTCACGCCTGTCTGCTGATAAGCCATTCATTCAGTCTACTTCCTTTTCACCTCTCTAGTCCCTACACTCTATTTCATCACTGTGACCACTCTCCTTATCTCATACACTACTGGAATAGATTCCTCATCTGGAATCTATTCACTGTCTACAGTTCTAACAAAAGTGGTCATTCTGATGCTTTAAAACCCTCCAACCATGCCTCAAAAAAATACTAACACAGACACAAAGAAACCTGGCCTTTCATGGTGGTTTCTATGTTTAGCTCACCTCTCGCCTCCTCTATCTCATTTTATGCTCCAGCTGTAATGAACTCCTTGTTGCATCTCCAAAGTGCCATATTCTTTGGTATAAGCTGCATGTTTCATTCAAGTGTCCCATTACCTTTCCCTGTCACCACCCTGCCTTATTCAGCATTTCCTATGTTATCTGGCTGATTAATATCATCCTTCAAATATCAAGAAGTTGTCCTGCTTCTAATATATAGCAAACTAACCTCCACCACAGCACTTATGCCTGAAGAGTGATTGTGTCCTCACTAGATTGAGAATGACCCAATGAACATCCAGCACACTGCCTCCCAAATGGTAGGTGCTTCCACACAGATAAGTGAGGAGTATAAGTATCTGAAGTATTGTTTTTGTGTACGAATGATAAATGTCAGGCAAATGATAAAATGGGTTACTTTAGTCATCTCATGGGAGTCTTGGTTTCCGAAAGATAAGCACAACTGTCTCTTCAACCAAAAACCAAGAAACTCAGAAGAACTGCAGAACCACACACACACACACACAAACAAAACAAAAACAGGAATATTTGAAATATTTTGATGGAAACGTACTGAGGCAAGACATTCTTAAGATTATCTTTTGAGTATAAGAATACAGAAAGTAAGGAAATGCTCTAAAAATCAAAACCAACCAAAGAGTCTGCCATAGTGGAATCTGTACAGTGGGACATGGGACCTAATCAAAAGAGCCTTAAATGGCCCCAAATAGACAACTTGATCAATAGCAAAGTAGCATTAAAGTACAACTCAGAGTATGACATAACTACTCATGAGGCCACATGAGTAGATAAATGGGGAGAAGAGACAGACCTATACAAAATAATTAAGAACAGAGTATGTGGATTCTCTGATCTCAAGAAGATAGAATACTTACAACCCCTCAAATTTAAATGTGGTCTGTAAACAGTGATTTCCTTTTGAAGGTTACAATATGATGAGAGGAGCTGTACATTTAGAGTAGAGAGACCCAACAGACACATTCTTAGCCAGTAATGCAGATCAGCATCAACAGTGACAATCAGATTACAGCACATACTACTGAAGTCACGTGATAAGGGCCTGCATGATGGCTCATTGGGTAAAGATATTCTCTGTCAAGCTTTATGATTGAGTGGAAGGAGAGAATTCACTTTTCAAGTTGTCCCTTGACCTTTTCACATGGTCCATAGTATACACACACACACACACACACACACACACCACACCACACACACCACACCACATTAAATTTTATTTATTTTGTAATTGGAAGAGGGGGCCTTTGTGCCACTACTCACATATGGAAGTCAGAAGACAATTTGTAGGAGTGTGTTCTCTCCTACTATGTGGGTCCTGGAAATCCACCTCGGGTCATCAGGCTTGGCATTAAAATCTTTATCCACTACACTATATATACAGGACTGGCTAGAAATCAGTAGGTGTAAATACTAAGTAACTAGGAACTTATCTTTTTGCAGGGCAGTGGTGGCATATGTTTTAGTCCCTAGAACTCAGGAGGCAGAAACAGGTTGATCTTTGTCAGTCTGAGGCCAGCCTGGTCTACAAAGCTATAAAGCCTGGTCAACTTCCAGCACCCAGATGGCAGTTCACAACTATCTGTTACTCCAGTTCCAGGGAGGACACTTCTTAGCAGTTGCAACTTTGGGGCACAACAATGAGCCTCAATTAATTTATGCTAGTGCTTAGAGTGCTAGGCAGGTAGACCTGCAAAACTGAGCAAAGGTTAAAAACTGATGAGATGTCACTGTTGTAACTATAAGCTATGACAACAATGAAGGAGTGTAAAATTTAAGTGATAAGACTGGAGATGTGCTGGTGGCCAGATCATAGCACACCGCACTGCACAACTTGAACTGCTGCATAGGTGACAAGAGAGCCAACACAGTTTTAAATAGTGCAGAGGCATAACCATGGTTAAGCAAACAAAACCAGCTTCAGCAGCAGCAACAACAAAACCTCTGTTCTTAGCAGTAATGTGAGGCTCCCAACCAATGGTAGATAGATTGAACTGGACATATGTTAGCAGACTGCTTTCTTGTTAAGAAAAGCCAGACATTTTTTGAAACAGACATAAAGCTACACAAAAATTACCCTACAGAGCAAACATTAACAAAACCCCAAAAAAATTATTTTTTTCTTATAAAGACTTAATTTACAAAGAACACGATTTGTTTCTCTGCATGCATCTCAATGTTCTTACATTCTGGGTGGGGGTGAGTCAGGGGTATGGATGAGGCCCACAGGAAATACAGTGCTTTGGAATTTTGGAGACATTATGGATTTATCCATGTTTACACAATTATTAGTACTCTGGGCCAGGGAACTGATCAACAGGCTTTCAAATTTAATAACCTCCAATGCATGCATTGTATGTGAAAGAAACATCAGTAAATAAGCTTAAGTTGTTAAGTACTAAAAGTAATTTTGGCCCAGGTGGTGGTGGCA